GAATATCGCTGAAGACGACGAGGCGCTCGTCGATGACGGCGTCGGCGCTGCTGAGGGGCTCGGGCTGTGCAGGCAGCAGGCGAGTGCCATCAAAGTCTCGGGGTACGCCGGGACCCATCTTGGCGAGATGGGCTTCCTCGAGCAGCCGCTGCACCTGTCGGGACAAATCGTAATTTTCTGACAGAGCGAGAGGTCAAGTCATACCGAACGAGCGAGGGGAGAAAGTGGACGCACGGACATTGAGAATGCATGTGAGTAAAAGCTACACCACATCCGCCGAGGGTCGGTCGATTGAGTGGGATTCCAGCGCATCCAGGCGCAACCCAACACAGCCCAGCAGGTCTGTGGCGTGATCGAGTGTTTTGATGCTACCGATGAGTGCTCAATGGACAACACACCTTGTGTCAGCGTGCGGGCATCCATTTCTACACGGTCCAACTTGACAGCGGCGGCTCGGAGCTCATCAACAGCGGCGTGTCGCTCGTTCGCCAGGAGTTCCCGCTCGTTAGTGAGACGAGCGACGTTCTGCTGAGCAGCTTCATAATCCTCTTGCAGTCTGGCTATGGCAGGGCCCTGCTCCACCACAAATCATATCGTTGCGTCAGTATCCTTGCAGATCGATGCACAAGCCACGAGTCGGTGTGCAGGAGGAGAGTACGCTGATTATATGTGCTTACGCGCTCGTTAAGTTCGTTGACAATGTGATCCAGGCACTCGGTGAGACGAGCATTCTCCCGCTTTTCGGCCAGGAGCTCCTCCCTGAGCTTGGAGTATTCGGCATACTAAAATACGGCCAGTGACGCCGTTGAGGAGATGTCCGTGAGAAACGAACCAAGCGAGGAGTCGCGCCTAAATGTGCATGGTGGCGCCGAGGAGCAGGGCCTGGGACGATGCTGCAGATCATTGCGCCGCAGCACACACGAATCCCTTTGCTTACCACTTCAGTGAACGTCTTGCCCGACTTTTGGAGACGCGAGGCAGCGGCAGCTGTGGGGCTGAGAACGCCGAGCTGGATGGCAGGGAGCGATGAGTGGCGGCCCACGGATAGACGCAGGGACACGGCTTAGAGTGAGTGCGCCACAGACCTGTGCATCTTTGACGATAACACGCAAATGACGAACAGCGCTGCCGAACCATGCACAAGCCTAGCATCCTGCAAGGTACCGACCTGGTTGATGATGCCGTTTCTCGCAATCTCGTCGTTCACAACCTTCAGCTCCGCTTTCATGCTCTCCACCTGTAGATCTCGCTCTTCAAGCTCGCTCTTGATGGCCTCGAACTTTTCGATGAACTCGTGCTCTTTGGCGGCAAAGATCTCCTCGTTGCGACGCTTCTCCGTCTCGAGGGTCTCGATGACCTGGTCGACTTCGTCGAGTCGATGGAGCTGTTCCTCGGCCTTGGCTTTGTACAGATCAGCGAGCTTCTTTTGCGAGATCATTTCGTTCTTGAACATTTGCTCCGACAGAAGCTGGCGATCGTTGGACTGGTGCGATGGATTCGATGTGACAGCGATGCCATCGATGTCATTGATGCGCAAGTTACGCGGCAGATGTCAGGCCAAGCACATGTGAGGCGATGGGCAAGAGAGACGATACGCCCGCCCACCAGCTGGTATGCGCACACGAGATATCGACCACGATGGACCAGTCCCAGGGGCACAGACACGACTATACCTCTTTGAGTCGCTGGGTAAGATCCTCGATCTTGATCTCCAGCTCTTCGGCTCTCTTGCTTCCAACGAGCATCTTGATTTCCAGGGACGATTTGTCGCTCTGCAGCTCCTCGATCTCGCGCTGCATCGCGCTGATCTGTGATGCCTTTTCGTTGCGGTAGTTGGAAAACTCTTGTGTTTTCTTGACCAGCTCCGAGTAGCTCCATTCGCTGTGCTTGCGCACTTGGTCAAGCTCCTGCTGGCCGATCTGTACCTCGTGGCGGAGGTTGGATTCGCTCAGCTGGAGAGTGGTCAAGTTGTCTTCGACACGGTTGTACTCCTCCCTTAGGGCATCGTATCGCTTCTGCAGCGCTGTGCTGTCGTCTAGAGAGATAAGCATCAGCGCCATGGATGCGGCATCGTCAGCACTGACAGTCGGATTGTGGGTATAGCGCCGCCGTTTCGAGCCAACATGCGGCGTCGCTGGAAGGTTGCTTCGATGGCATCCCTTGTTCCGAATGGCAAAACACGCAGTATAGGACGGCCACGGCTGCACCAGTCACCTTGCAGACGGTCCTTTTCCTCCTGGGACTTGCTAATGATGGCGGCCAGATTGCGCTTGTCTGCCTCGAGCTCGGCGACGACCTCCTTCAGCCTGGCAACTTCTTTGTGGCTTGCAATGTCACGGCTCTCGCTGGTGGGGCCCATCTGCATGTGGAGCAGAGCGGCATCTATGCGGAATCGCCAATTAGCACGTCGTCAGAGTCAGCTAGAGCTAGACTTTGATCTCCATCAATGACGACAGCAAGAGAGCAACCAATACACATTCAATGTACTACATACTCTTGGCGGCCACCTGCTTTTCGAGCTCGCCGATGGTATCTCTGGCGCTATGCAGCTGGCTGCGTAGTGTCTGGTTCTGGGATTCGGATTGGTGAGCTGCTTGCTCTGGAGATACGGAGAGCGTCCAATGACGAATGGATGAGCGACGACGAACAGTGAGTTGCGGTGTGGTGAGCGCGAAACAAGCGGTGAAAACGGGGATCCTGGTACATAAGCACATCAACGAGCGGCACACATGTCGAATTGGCAGCGGAGTCTTGAGATCACGGCAGCCCCAGTACTGTGACTACATCCAAAGTCAGAGGCCGAGCAAGCGTACCCACCGTAGTTGATTTCCATGAGTGCTTTCTCGGCGATCGCTTCTTCGAGGCGAGCCCGCATTTCTGTCGCTGTTGGGTCTGAAGGCTCGCCGTCCTTTCCAGGCAAAGGATGCAGCCAAGCATCGAGGCGCGCGAGAAGCTGGGCCAGCTCCGGCGAGGTTTTTATCGCACGAGTGATACTGTCTTGAAACTGAGCCGTCGGAAGAGCTGTGGCCGTGAGTAAGTGAATCAAAGCGTGAAGGTTGGGCGTTGGGCCAGGCGGAGAGGTTGTGTGGATGGCTTCGTGGGTCTCGGGCTCTGGCTTGTTGGGAGAATCAGGACGTGGGTGTGTCCGAGTCGGCGACCGGCTCGACACAGGGCTTGCGGCTGCTCTCGTCTGGGGCGACAAGGACTCTGGCCGGATATCTTGAGGCCGTGGCGAGGGTCGAATCGGTGAACGACTTTCTGGTGCGTGGCCGACATCGTCCGGAGCGGCAACCAAGTCCAAGGAGGCTGCGATTGCGACCGTCGGCGGTTCCTGAGACGGAAGCACGGCTGGGCTGGGCTCGCGGTCGACTTCCATCTGCGCCGTTGGCCCGGCGGCAAAGTGCAGCACTGGAAGCTCTGTCGCTGGCTCGTTCATGGCAGCATCGGCCAGGGTTTCGTCGGGTGACTGTCCCATAACTATATCGTCGAGAGAGGCATCGAGATGGGACGCCACCAGCGCGGATTCTTCGCGGAACTCGACCTCGAAATCCTCGATATCGGGAATGGGCGGCAGACCCAGGCTGTCAGAGATTTCGGCGGCCTGGAGAGCGGCTGGTTCGTGGCGGAAGGGTGACCCGCCGTGATGGAGCGGATGAATCGCATCGGGCAATGGGCTTTGGCGCTCGTCGCTGGGAACAACGGGGATATCCGAGTGCAGGTCATCGCGGGCAGCCGCGGAGTGGGCGTGGATGGAATCGATGTCTTCCGGGATCGAGTCCATATCCCCGACGCCGTGCGCTGGAAGCAGGTCGAATCCAGGGTGGCCCTGCATCAGGTGGCTGAGTGCAGAGCCGGCGGCGGTAGTCCCGAACGAATATCCGCCGGCGAGAAAATGAATCTGCTGCGACTCTGGGACATTGCCGGGCGCGTTGTCATCATCCTGGGGAGCGATCTCATCGCCAGTTTCGTTGCCGTGACCTCCACTATCGTCGTTGTCGCGGCCGTCATGGCCGTTATCGCCCTCGCCATCCACGTCGTCCTCGTCATGAATGGGCGGCAGTGCAGACACGCCATAATCGGGCTGGGTATCGGGGCCGTCTTCAGCACCCGGGAGATCGTCGGCATCATCATGCTCGACGCGACCATGAAACTCATCTTCTTCGTCGATGACATCGCCGTCGTCGGCGTCAAGTTCGCCCTCTTCGTCTTCGGCGTCATCTTCGTCGTTTTCATCATCGCCGTCATCGTCATCGTCATCGTAGACATCGTCGTCGTAGTCGTCTCCATGGGGGCTTGTATCTGCGTCATCTGTGTCGTTGTCGTTGTCGGGATAGGGCTCTCCGCCATGCAGGCCGTGGACAGGCGACGAGGACAGCTCTATGATGTCCTCGTCGTCCAAGCCAGGGTTAGGGTGGCTCTCTTCGGGATCAGCCATGTGCCAGATCTCGGGTTACAGGCGATCGGCAGGAATGGGAGTGTCCGCCGCAGCGTCTGTGATGAAGGAGGGGAAGCTGGGCACGATCCGAGTGCAGGGCGGCTGCAGATCTGCTCAGGCCAGTGAGTTGGCGCGGATTGCGGGGACAGCGACGGGCTGTGTGGGCGTGCGGGTGCCGGGAAGGTTGGGGGAAGACGGCACACGCAGACACAGGAGCAGCGAGGAGCAAGCCGTGGCGGGTGTGCGGATCGGCAGGTCCGAGACAGGATCGGCGTCGCAGACTGGATCAAGGCAGGCGATGGCGGCCCTGGTGGAGGCGATCGACGACGGCCTTGGGCTGGGCGACGCAGCCGGCTCGAGTGCATTCGAGCCACTCGTGGCAGTGCGCTGTGGCAGTGCATCACAGGAACGTGCCACATGTGTGACAGTGCTGCGCGCCCCATCGCAGCTGGATCCTGCACAGAGACTGCGGCGGCGGCCGGCCAATCAGCGCCGTCTGCACACACACACACACACGGCGGCCATTTCGAATTCGCTCGTTTCGGTCTTGCATTTCCGAGCGTCATCTTTCATCACCTTTCATCACCTTCCATCTATCGCCTCGGCCATCTTGACTGTCGATCGCCTATCACCCGTCGCCCCGGTCGCTCAATCACACTCAGCCGTCGCGCACAGCTCATGAAATCGTTGCCCATGCAGCAGTCCGGCGCTGCCCGGTTCCTCCGCGGCCTATCGTCGTCCAGATCGCCTCTCAGCCCAGTCCTCACCCGCAGTCGCGCTGTCCCGGCGACGCTCCCATCGTCCTGCTGCTGTCCTTCACACAATGCCCGTGCCGTGCGTCTCTATTCGGCGCCTCAGCGACCTCCGTCGCCGCCACTCGGACTCTGTCCCTTTCCAAGACACAAGGAGTGCTGGTCCTGCCATACCGCTCTGAGCGCCGCCGATGTCTTTTGCCGGTCCTGCTCCAAGATCCAGCCCGTCGCCCTCGGAACGTCATACTTTGAGCTGCTATCAGCCCACACCAGTCTGTCGTGTCAACCCGGTGACTGCGACGGCGCCTCGGCCGAAGACTCGATTTTTTATCCCAAGTTTGCCCTCGACCTGCAGCAGCTCCGACGGAACTTTCTGACTCTCCAGCAGTCCGTCCACCCCGATGGATTCACCAAAAAGAGCCCGGTACGGCACGCATCTTGTGGGTTATGGGGCGGGGCTCTTGCCGCCAGGGCCGTTTCTGTCGCGGATACATGGTGCCGATGGAGAAGAGTCCACCAGATCCGAGATCGTCGCGTTTGCTATGCCACCGGTGCTTGGAGCGAGCCGAGCTCACGGATCGACCCGGGGTCTGTTCTGATCATGATTTGCTTGCTGTTGTGGTTGAATCGTTTTGCACCACCATGGACGACCAACCAACATTCGGGCGACTCGCAGGAGGAGCGCAAATACTCCGAAGTTCAGTCCTCGCTGATCAACAAGGCATACCAAACTCTCCGGGAACCACTCTCCCGAGCAAAGTATATGGTAAGTCCGTAGGCTGTGCTCGTCCCTCATCCTGGAACCTTGGTCTGCGAGTGTCGCAAACGGGAACAACAGCGATCGCAATGGCACCACAATTTGGCGCATTGGTGCTTCAGTCAGGCGACCGACCGATCGACCGACCGACTCGCTCCAACCCAACGGATTCAGGATGGTTTTGGAGATTCAGCTATGGCCGACTGATCGTCTGGTGGGTTGTGGTGCTGCTGGACTAAGCGGCGTATATCTGTACTCGCGCGTGTGGCTGTAGCTCGGCCTGTACAATGTCAAAGTCGAGGAGGGTGAAGCGCCAGTCAATCAAGAGCTGCTGATGGAGGTGATGGAAGTTCGAGAGGCCATCGAAGAGGCCGAGCGAGAAGAGGATCTGGAGGAGGTTCGCCAGGAGACGAAAGGTAGGAGCCCACCACAAGCCACGGCGGTGGATATTCCATGAAGGATGTTGAAAAAGCCGTCTTCAACTGCTGGCCGCTCATGAAGTTGACGGCAACACTTGGGAATACGCTACGGTGCGCTGACAAACTGGGCGAGTATCGGCATGGGGTCTGCTTGTCATCACGCTCATGCCCATTTTGTTTCCGCCGCTGAAAACACTGCAGCCAAAATGAACGAAACCATTGCCAGTCTGGATGAGGCTTTCGGCGCTGGAGATCTGACGCTCGCCAAAGCCCTCACCATCGAATTGCAGTATCGAGTGACGATGGAGAAAGCCCTGAAGGAATGGGACCAGCCTTGAGTGTGGCAAAGCCTTGGAGAAAGCCATCGGCCCAACGGCGAGCCAGATGATGCTGCTGCCAGACGCCAATCCTGTTTGGCTGCGATCTACTTTGGCCGATACCACACTCAACGCAACCAAGCGAGCCGCTAGGACCCTGTGCCCGTGTCTTGGACCCCTGTCCTTTCCAATGAGCCACGGCGTGTACATCAATCAATCAACTCACATCCACACTATCGGCAACCGAGCTGTAGCGGCACATGGATGCGCCATCCGTTGTATGGCAGCGAGAGTGCATCATCTGCGCCAATACAAAGCGATCCATCGCTCCTCTCCACACCAAGTTCGTTCGTCCGTTTGGGCGAAGCAGGAGTCAATCTAAGGAGCTGTATTACATCCATCGGATGCCGGGTGAGCCGAGGTATAGAGGCGACAACATGGATCTGTGCGGAGAGGCGGTGTGACAGCCGAGCGGACAGAGCCGACAAGGGGGTGGGTGTGGATGTGGATGTGAGAGCGGCAAATTGCTCCCGAGATAATGGTCGCAGGGCTGTGTTCAGTGGATCCGCACGATGCGGGTCGAATATGAGGCACGCTTGATGTCCAGATCGGCAAGCGGGCTGGACGCTGACAACCCGGCATTTGTGGCCGGGTTTCGCTGGAGATGGATTGGAATAGCGTCGCCTTCGCGCTATGTCGGAGAGGACTGGGTCGACTTCAGCCGCTCGATCAGGAGCGGATACACGCCCTGGTACAGCAGAATCTCAGTCTCTCTCTTTGCATTCTCGAAGCAGTTGTATGGAATGCGTTTGGTTGTGCCGGTGGTCTCGAACAGATCCTTGAGCTGCATACGATGGTCCGCCGACAGATTCAGCTCGAATGGCGCATCGTTGCGGATGAAGCGCTGATAGATGTCATTGAACTGAACGTGGTCCTCGGGACGGATGTACTCTGACTCTTCATAAGCCCGTGCGTTGCGTGCCCTCAACTTCTTGATGGCTGCAATAAACGACGTATTTTCGACACAAAACACTGGCGAGGAGCGTCCATGCCGGCGGAACGATAAGCTTGGGCACTGGGCCGTCTCAGAGACGGTTCTACCTGGCACATTCCACAGCAAGGTGCTGCACTGGAGCGGCGACATCATACCGTTGCATCAATCTCAACCTACCTTCGTTTGAGATCACACACATCTCCTTGAAGAGATAAGGATCGGACAGACAGCGCTCAAACGTGACGTTTTCGAGCGAATACTCGCTCAGCTTTCGCTTCCGGAGTACGGGAATCAATGGAAGCACGACAGTGACGAAATGAATGACGACCCACTGAATGACCAGCTAAGTGTCAGTATGGCGAAGAACATGGTGATTTGATATGGTGCCAAAGTCATTTCGAGTCGCATCCATTTTTGCACATGTGTTGGTTTAGTTGCACGGGGTGCATCGGCGTGGGGGGAGATTGGGTGGATCGCGAGACAGGGTTGTGGATCGGATGATGCGGAGTACGAGCTGCGTTAACATTCATCCTCAGCACAACTAACATCAATGGGGGACTGACAGCACAGCGACCATTATCATACGTTGACCATATCACACCACACAGCCCGATGAAAGCTGTTGATGGAGCCAGACTTGTCGACATCACCGATGCAACCGACCCAATCCCGACCCACAACCAGGATTTAATGGCGCAATTCTCGATCGACATCGATAGCGGCACATTTGGCTTTGACGATACTTTACCCACATGAAGGCCCGGAAGTAATACCCGACTTGCGGAAAGTTGTTCATGACCGCTCGCTGCCACACTGCAAAGAGCGGAGTGCACACCATGGCAGTTACAGCCGCCCGGAGAATCTCGACACGGATCGGATGCACGATCTTGAGGGCATGGATCTTCCAGATGACGATCGGGAACAGCACAAAGACGTAGAGGAGGCAGAAGCACACAAACGGCAGCATATATGTCGAGTGATCCTCGACGCAGACCGTGTCGGGCGAGCCGAGGGCGGCTGCCGAAAATGAAAGCCAGAGCTGGGCGCCGACGGTAAGCAGCACTGCCCCGATGATGAAGGCGAGGCCGCTGTAGTTCTTGAGGGCGAGAGAGTTGGATCGAATATAGGCGAGGATGGCGGTGGCCCGCTGGTTCAAGGTCGATGAAGTGCGGCCGATTGAGGGCCGCAGGGCCTCCAGGTCGTGCAATCTGGCGGCCGAGGGCATCTGCAGCTCGGCGATGTGGGCCATCGAGATCAGCCGCAGAAACCTGTAGAATATCGAGCTGAGATATCCGCTCTGGGAGAGCGCAGGAGCAAGACAAACACGGCCCAGCGGCGAGAAAAGCCGCCCGCATCAGCGAACTGTTCTCATCGAGCCGATGATCACTCCAGCCACCAAGAACAGCAGCCACGCTGTAGAATCAATCCAACATCGAGGGCAGCAAGAATCAAGCGCAGTGTTGGTTCTGTGTCCGAGCCTCCAATATTCCCGGACCAGCATGCTGCCGAGCCCTTACCGTGCCCAGCAAGATCATCCATGTGGTGATATGGCATGAGACGTTCTCAAAGGCAATCATGATGAGTATGCCTGGAGGTTGGTTCAGAAGCACAATCAGCGAGCGACGGGGTATAAGGTCAACAAAGGTGACTGCTTCGATCTGACCGAGTCCGACGCCAGTGGTTTCCAGCATCAAAGATATCGACAAGAAAGGTGTACCTTGTGCGCTGATGAATCCGCAACATGAACTGAACACTGTCAAGGTTATAGCCCGAGAGCCGATGCGCGCGTCATTGCGGTTGCGAATAAAGATGAAGAGACTGATTGATGATATCGTGGCAGACCAGATCGTTTGTAGGACGAAGGTACCGGCGATGGGCATGTGCGATGAGAGAGGCAGGAAATGGGTCGAGCGTCAGATGCAAGCTGATCAGACATGAGAAGCTCAAACAATTGAGTTTGATGTGGCTGATGGAGTTGCGCTGGCCAATCCAATTTGCCGACACTAACACCGTGGGTGAACAGCGACGGCCACCACACCGAAAGCGGGTGCACAATGCCCCACGACCAAGATTTGCCCGTTCAATCGCTTCCAAGGTATCGACGTCCAAAAGTGCATTCGGCCGTCGAAGGCAGCGTTGCGTCGATTGGTACTCGCCGCGGACTGTCGACCGCACGGACTCGCTGTTCATCCCAGCCCAATGTGGGGACTGGGCCATTGGTATTGGGGTATCGCCAAAGTCCTGCCGACGCCGCTGGCGCAAAAATATGACTTTGAAGTAAGCTCCCTACCTCAGCGTCCACATTAGCGTGACCAGAGCCATGATGATTTCGTGAGCCAAGGCTGAGTTTGGCGTCCAATAGGGTGAGTTGGCCATCGGTGCTCTCGTGCAGAACCACTTGCGGCCGGGAGATGGGTGGAGGTGCCAGTGTCGCCTCTGCCTTCTTGGGCTTGGATGCCAATGGATGTGTCTGGTGGGAGGGGGGCTGGACTCAACTTGAGATTGCAACCTGGATCCGAGAGCGATTTCAGGGTCAGCCAGATTATTGCAGTGTCCATGCGAAAACGGGGCAATGGGCGTAATGGGCGCAAGTCGAATGCGATACACATACAAGCGTGGGAATGTGGCGAGCCGCTGGGAAGGCGAGTGCCGGGAATGTGCCAGTCTTGGTGCCGATTTGCCGCGTGGGAATGCGAGGCGGTGGATCCTTGGCGATGATGCAGGATTCAGTCGTTGAAGAGTGAGGTAGACCACAACTCACGAGGAAAGCCTGTCGCTGACGACGTCGAGTGTTGATATCGGAGGCGGTTGGGTTGGATCGGACGAGGTGGGTGATCGTGATATTTTCGAGAGCAGCTGAGGAGGAAAGGAGTCGGCGAAGGAGCGAAAGGAGGAAGGGAACCACGGCACGATCGAAGTGGGGATGAGACGGATTTCTCGCGCTCCACCCTCACACGATGATCCGAAGGATGGTGTATATATGTGCGAGCCAGTTGAGCCGAAGGTGTTCGAAGCGAATACGCGAGTCTGTCGGTGGGATGTGCAAGAGTGTCTGCGACAGAGTGATTCGCGGCTGTCCAAGGACATATCTACTGCAAGAACAGAGATGGAGAAGGGGGGTCCCTGGCACTGGTCAACTCTCTTTGCATTGCAGTGTCAAGTCGAGTCAAGTGCGATATGGCATCGGCTGGCCCGCCCGTGCGACTGCAAGACGGATATCCCCAATCGCCAGCTCCAGCGTAGTGGCAATGAGCGGAAAGTTGCGAATGATGCAAAGGCTCGAGATTCCATCCGAGGCCGCCATATGATCAGGGGATGGCCGAGTGAGACAATCGGCGAGCGCGCAGGCGGATCAGTCGTGTGCGAACAGGTCGATCAGATTGCGGGGAGTAGTTGACGAAAGCGGTGGAATCAGTGATGTCGAGTCGGATCGACAGGCCGTTCGAGTGGCACGCCAAATGCAAATATGTGTTTTTGCCGTTGTTGTGGCAATTTCGGAGCTGTGATTGCGGGCTGTGAAAGTGCCATGGCGGCGCTCATATGGTCATTGCGCTCCTGTGGTCCTTTCGGTTCGGTTACTTTGTTCATTTGAATCATTCGCTGATCTGGTCTCTTCACTGGTTTGGCATTTGCACTCCTGCCGTCCTCCACCGGCTCTCGCTGTCCATGACCATCGGCGCCGGACACTCTCACAGGCCGATCTGATTGGTGTCTCCGACATCGATCAAGGGTATCCGCAAACCAGCATGATTGACCCCCTCGGACTCTGCCGCGCACACAACGTTGCCTCTGCTGCTTCCCCGAGGCACTGAGGCAACTGGCTCGGGGTGAGCCGATGCATGGCGGCCCTCGATTGAGAGCCAGTTTCCCCTGTCCCCACGGTACTTGGATTAGCCCCAGCTTGCACGTTGGCGTGCACGCCGGTTGACACCCGGGTCCTTTCCCAAGCATCGGCGTCCCAGTTGCACGGCCGGGCCATCGGCAGCAAGAGATGCCCATGCGCTTTCTACCGGTCTCCCGCGGTGACACTCGGCCTTGATTGACCTCGGCCCTCATTTGAAGCGCTTGCTGTGCAGTAATGCCGTCGCTGGCTCCGCATCGCTGTCTCCGCACCTCCCACGCCCTCATGACACCCTCTGACGCAACACTGACACTTTGGATGGATGTGGACTCTCGAGCGATCGTTGGCCGAGACGAGTGTATATGCCAAGAGGGAGAAGCAAAGGCATCTACGATCCCGACAATGGCCGAGCATATAGATCCACATTGGGTGCACTTGATGATGAGTCTGCTGCTCAGTTGGCAAACACCTCGACGACTCCATCCTCGTTCTCGAGCGACACGACGCGGTCCGAGACCTTGGCTGCCCATTCCTCGATACGGGCCTTGATCGTCTTGATCTGGTTCATGTCCAAGACGCGAGGCTGCACCCACGACACCTGGATTGCATCGAGTTGTGGTTGGAGCGAAGCACGGGTGTGGACACGTCGGTAGGAATACATTAGCGATTGAATGAACCCATCAGCCATCTCGCCGGCGCCATGTGTCGGTTCTGCTGTAGACTCACACGCGGACGAGCCGCTCGCACACGTATGCCAGGATGCACTGCAGCCCATGCAATATTGCCGCCCAGCAAAGGTTACCTCGACGACGCGATCGATCTCGTCAATCTTGCCCTTCAGGAGCCCCAGACTGAGCGCACGCATGACCAGATGCTCGACTTCGTCCATGGTCACGCGTGTCTCCGTCGAGATCTGCTGGAAGGTGAGGCGGCTGCGCTCCTCTTTCGATTTCCGGAAGACCATCTCGACGAGGGTCATGAGGCACAGCTTCTGGCGCAGGAAGGCCAGGGAGTTGGAGAGGAGGGTCTACAAGGGCCGCAGGGTACGCTGATTAGGCTGGTGCCCGCATGGTGCAGGTGTGTTGGCAGAGCGGCTCTGCTGCTGGGTAGGATGACGGTGCACACATACCTGCTTCAAAAACTCGGCGCTGCTCGTGATGCGGTTGAAGCCGTCAATGTCACCGGTGTTGTAGCAGAACAGCAGATTTCGTAGCCACTCGAAGGTGGTGCCTTTCAGCGAGTCCAGGATGGGGTGCATCAGCTGGGAAGCGATGTAGGAGATGTGTGCGATACAGCCCGAGTAGCAAGAGACGATGTACATCGACAGATGGTTGACCCGATGGCCCCGAGGAGATTGTGCGAGACAAAGAGCGAGGATACAGGGTCAGTTCGGGATGCTCGTCGTAACCCTCAGTCAGGTTCCATCGCACAATGCAGCATGCGCTTGAGCAAGATACAGACCAGCTCGCCAAAGTTATAGAGTCCAGCGCCAAAGATGGCACTCAGAGCCAGGTCATGGGCGCGCTCGACCTTCTCCTGGACACTCAGGTCGTCGAGCGAGACCGAGGACAGGTACAGGAGGGCGCTGTGATAGTACTGGGGATACGCAGCCGTGACCTGCATTGGGGACGAGGGAAAGGGCTGATGAGCACAGCGGGCACCATACTCGCACAGGGTTCGCTCGAGGCTATGGTACATGTGCTATCCGGACATGGATGTATCCATGTACGCCGATGAAGCTGGGCAGCTCGAGCGTCCTCAAATGGGTTGTGCCACTCAGGCGAGCGAGAGATACGCACTTTGTAGTAGTGAGCCGAAACGCGATAGAACGACGCATTGATGGTTGGGTCAGTTGCGGTCAGCTGCTCGAGGATCTTCTCGCACTGATCGATGGCGGCGCGGCAGCCGTCCAGATTGTCCGTGATGAGCTTGTAGTGGGCGGCCTCCATCGTGGCGAGCACAAAGGCATCTTTGGCTTGATCGTTGTCCTTGAGCTTCTCGGCATAGGCAGCCAGGAACTCGAGCGAAGCCTTGGGATCTGGATGCAGATTCGCGAGCAGATGGTGCGACAGATGCACGGGGTGCGCGCAGGTGAGGATGTGAGGGTTTGCGAGCAGAGCAATGCGGCTGTCAGTAGCGAAGATTGGTATCGCAAGTTGATCCTTTCACCGAGCGCGCTGGTCGGTGTCCCCGACTACAGGCTCAACAAGCATGGCGAAGCACACTCGGCGATGCAGCGAACAGGCGTCTGTCCCAACCGTCGGCATGTGGAAGGCCAGACATGCTCGCAGGACGCCCGAGCGATCATTACCCTTGAGCTCCTTGCTGGCGCGGGCGGCAAACTGGATCAGACTGAGCTTGTTGATGTGCTTTTCCCAGTCCGAGATGAAGTGCTCGCACAGCGGGATCAGGAACTGGCCAGCGCCAGGCAGATCCTGGAACTTGGCCAGCGCCAGGGTCAGCTGATGCCACAGCCTGAACAAAATCACCCGGTGAGTTGGTTGGGGAGTTGGTTGGTCGGAGAGTCGGTTGGTTGGTGAATCAGGAAGGAAGATGCATGGTCAGATCGGAGCAACGCTGATCGGCGACCGTATCTGTGCAGGGAAATGCTATCGTGCAGGACGATATCTTGCACAGGATGGCCAAGTGCCAGGCCACCGATATCGATGGACGGTGGACACGATGGAAGACGGTTACTTTTTCTCGTAGAGGTCGTTGAAGGCAAGCAAGCCCGCCCGGACGTCGGCGCTGGAGGCTGACTGGGCCTGCTGGTTCAGGAAGCTGGAAACGTCGCGATCGATCTCCATGGCAGCGGCAAGACAGGAGTTCTGAGGATGCGATGGAAGCGAGACGGCTGGGTGCGGTGGAGGCGAGATGGAGGATCGGGACGAGATGGAGGATCAGGATGCGATGGAGGATTGGGATGCGAAGGAAGGACGAGCTTTCCCCCCTGCCCGAGACGGACCAATCAGCGGCGGCGGCGGCGGCGACCAGGGAGTGCATCACGTGCATACTGCGCACGCGTGTGTGTGTGGTTTCGATTCCGTCGGTGATCAAGTTGGCACTGGTCAAGCCCATTGAACACCACAATTTAACACCACAATTTAACACCACAATTGAACACCACAATTTAACACCGCCATTTAACACTATTGACACCATTTAACACTACTCATGGCCATCCGATGCATTTCGATTCGATGCACAGCAACTAATGTCCCCGTCGGCGCTTGCTTTTGCATCCAAACGATCGCCAATCGCGCCGGCACAGGGTCCTTTCCTCTCGCGCGCATCTTGCCCAGCGCCTCTGTCTCGTATCAACCATCCGGCCGACCATCCGGCCGACCATCCGGCCTTTCGACTCGCCCGGCGCCCCGTTGCTTCTGCATCGACACTGACCGAGCACTGAATCATATCCGCCGCCAAACATCCATCTGAACGTCCATCCAAACATCGTCGGCTCGTTCTGGCCATCTCCCTTTCTCGCGGCCCGACTCCCAGCCCCGTTTGGTCCAGCGCATATCCGCAATGAGCCCATATCAGACCCAGCATGAGCCTCTTGTCGTGGACGAGGCCGACATCACCAGCAGTGTCGGCGGCCCTCCCGCCCTGACTCCTCTCGCCCCCAATGCCATCGCCAGCAACAGCATCGTCGGCGACGGCAACGATAACAACATCGACGGCAACGACAGCAGCGACGGCAGCGGCGACCCCAACGATGCTGGCCGCGGCGAATCCTCCGAACCTTCGCCGTCGCAGCAGCCCGGCTACCTGCCTTACGAGGACGACCCCGAGACCGTCCTGGCCCAGCTCGTCTCGCTCGGCTTTGACTCGCAGTGGTGCCAGGTCGCCATCGCAGAGGCCCTCGAGAACGAAGCCTCGACGTCGTCCCTCTTTGAGCTCGTTCTCAACCGGATGCTGGACCGCCAGGACCAGGGCGATGCCCGCGCCATTACATGTAATGGGATATACTCGGGCTCGTTGGGCCTTTGAGCCGAGTGTTCCCTCGCTTTGCATGTCCTCCCCTTGCTCTTTCTCCCCGCATTCCTGTCGCTGCACCCTCCATCCGCTATCCGTCTTGTCTTAGCCATCTTGCGCTGCTTTCTGGTGCGCACGACTAACTCCTGACCCACTGGCTGCATCGTCCACGCAGACTCGCCCGCCCAGTCCCCAAAGCCCTCCCGTCCCAACTCCAAGCGCCAGCCCACCAAGGGCATCCTCAAGCCCGGCGTTGTCCCGCCTCAACAGACTACTGCCTTTGCGGGCAAATCGGCTGCCCCGTCATGGTTCGCCAAGGGCATTGGCTCGGCCGCGATTGCATTTGCAAAGTTCAAGACCTCGGCTGCCATTGCGGCCAACGAAGCCGTCAACACCATCAACGATCTCGTCGGCACTGCTGCCGGCCCCGCCGGTGGTTCCGGCTCGTCCACCCCGCCGTTGCTCGCCTCTGACGGCACCGAGGCTCTTCCTGCGAGACCCGCCGCGGGTTCCCTCGAGCATCGCTCCGACCCGCAAGCGTTTGTTATCGACAATGGCTCAATGTCGAGTCTCGAAAGCAATCTCGCGCCTGCCCCAAAGTCCCAGTCGATCCAGGACGTCCACGACATGAGGACGGACTATCGCGCCAGCATTGGCGGCTCGGAGCGGACCAGCGATCTGGGCTCGCTGGAACTTCCCCAGTTCCCAAAGCGCGTGCGCTTCTCGTTCCCGGACATCCGCATCGACCCGGAGGAGTTCTCGCCGGTTCAAACGTCGCCGTCAGGGGCCTCCGCCTCGACAGCATCACCCTCAGCACAGCTGGATGCACAGAACGACCCAGAGGCTGACGAAAAGGCGCACTGGGAGCTGGAAAAGTCCGCCATCGCTCCCACAAACGGCTCTGTCGTCCATCTCTTTGACCAAGGCGGCTTTACGAGCGAGGATCTGCACCAATACTACACGCAGTCGTGGCAGCGCCGCGGCGAGCAGCCTATCGAGAAGCTCAATGTGCAGCTGCTAACGGCCATCGAGTCCAAAAGCATCCTCACACGCATGGACTTGTCGGGCACGACAATCGACCGCAAGCACGTCGCCTCCCTGGCCGACATTCTGATGATCGAGACTGGCCTGGTCTCGCTCAGCATGGAGAACTGCAACATTGAGGATGAGGTGAGTCCACATCGGCCTATGGTTTGGTGTGTCCTACTGTACCGGAGCGCATGGTCTGATCATATCAGATGCAAGCGGTGACGCCGTCGCGGACCGACACCGGCTCGGCCCGTTCGATTCCATCGACCCTGCTTGCTGTGCTCGATTCTCGATACTTCTCAAGTGTTCTGACAGCCCGCGCGCTGGCCGTCGCTCCCGTGTTTTCACGAGCAGATCCTCAAGGTTTTACTGCACTCAGTCCTCATCACCAACACCCTTCAGTCCCTGAGTCTGGCCAACAACCGGCGCATCAAGGTGCAAGGCGTCAAATACGTTGCTGTACTGATCAAGAAGGTAAGCTTCGGAACTGCATTGGATCGACTCGAGGGATCGCTGTGGTGCACCACGGGAGTGGCATGGCTACGGACACACAGCCAAACCCGCCCATTCGCTTGCTCTCGTAGACCAAATCCCTCAAACACCTGGATATATCCGGAATCTCGATCGATCGGCAAGGCATGGGATTCCTCAGCCATGCGCTCGCGCAGGGATCGCAGAATCCACCGGTGGGATCGACACTGGAGACCCTGAAGATGGACTCGTGTCAGCTCCGAGCGCCGCTGCTGGAAGTGCTGGGTATGCCGAGCTCGTCGATGGCGTGTGTCTTGCAAAGTGCCCATTCGTGCCGAGCCCTGATGCCTGTCGGGCCACCGAGAAATGGCCCTGCTCCCACTCTCACACCAATTGCTCGCTCCTGCGACGCAGCCATCGGAGTCAACCATTCGCAGGTCATCCGTCTATCCCTCCGAGACAACAAAATGAACGCCGACTGCGGTCTCTATCTCTTTGATTTGCTCAAGAACGAGCGTGTCAGTGCCAACGGAAGCACACCGATCCGCCAGCAGCCCCGAACGCGCGGAATCGAGTCGCTGGATCTGCGCGGCAACGAACTCAAGGCAAGTCACAGCAGTGAATCTGCTCCGCTCCCCTGGGCTTCCTTGCCATTCCCTGCCTTGCCCTGTGGTCACATTCGTTGGTTGTCTGTATGGAGCCCCCTGGCTAATCATCACTGCCATTCCCGCCACCGATGCAACTGTTACTATTTGTGCAACCGTTGCCTCGACGGCATCGCCGACACTCCTATATCTGATCTTCATGACGCAATCAACAACTGTTGTATCGGCGATGCTGTCAACGCTGCCAACAACACTTGTGGTGCTGGCGACACCGGTCCGGCCGTTATGACTCTGCTCAACCAGAGTGGGGTTCATAAAATTGCGAGAGCACTCGGCGATCAGCTGTGGCTCCGGCATTTGGTGTTGCGCGACAACAAGATGGACCATGTTGCTCTCGTAATCCTCTCGGAGCACTTGGTAGGCGACCCATTCGATGCACAGAGTGGCAGCGGTTCGTGAGGACGATCTCGATGCGGCCCTTCCCTCGGGCGACACATTCACAGCGCCTTCTTCACCCTGGCTCGACAGAAAACAAACAGGACCGTCACCGTGCTAGATCTCAGCAGCAACCCACTCTGCTTGGATTCACTAAATGGGGTGAGTCTCCCGGGCCAAGCCTGGTCCGCGTGGCGGCCGTGGCAGTTCACTTGCCAAAGTCGATTCGATAGTGGCAAGTCGCTCTGCTCTCCCCCTCTGCCTTCATTGGCGCGGAGTGCGACGGCAAGCTGACCGCGACAGGCCAATCGACTGATCGAGCGAGTGCGGATCTTCCTGCCAGGTCACGGCCTTGCTCGAGGCCCTGGTCCTGAACAAGACCCTCAAGGAACTGTCGCTGGCCAATACCCATTTGAACTCTGAAGGTCAGATCTCTGGCTTGCGCCACGACTGCCTCTGTGATCCAATCGCTCCCATGGCTTGCCTGACATTGTACACTTGCCTTGCATGCAGGTGCCATCGCGTTTGCGGAAGCCATGCCTCTGATCAAGTCGGTACAAAAGCTCGACATCACCTACAATCCGATCGATATTGCGGGTGTCCTCGCGATATCCGTGTCGCTGAAGCTCAACAACAGCTTCACGATGCTGGAGCTGGCGCCGTTCTTGGATCCCCAGCGCGGAGTCATCTCGAATGTAGGTGCCGACACGGTTGGCTCGGGATGGATATCGGTCGTCCAGGGCCAGCTCGAAATCCAATGCGCTGTATGTGCGGCATTAAGGCCTGCGGTAGCTTGGTGAGCTGCTTGTGACGACATGCCTTCGGGCTAACCCAATCTGCGACTGACTTGACTTTACAGCAAAGCGACGATATGGCGCGTCTCCTGAACGACATCTCGATCTACTGCCAGCGGAACGAGGCCATTCTGCAGACCAAACACGAACTCGACGGCGACGAGCAGAAGGACATCTTTCCATCCATACAGCCGTTGACACCGCCTAATCCAAGGCTGCTACAGCGCTTGGGCTTGAAGAAACCGCCACCGCCCGCTAAAAACATCCTGCAGCTCTTTTGGGACAATGACCCCGGCATGCAATCCTCCGACAGCTCTCCCAGGCCCTCAGCGACCTCTGATCGATCCTCCACCAGCGACAACCAGCGTTCGTCCTTCAATCAGGGCGACTATATGGAGCGGGTGTCGAACGCGACCGAGACCCTGGGTCTGTTCGAAGAAGTTATGGAAGAGATTGGGAACAGCGGCGACTCGGATGGGCTGCTTGAGGTAAGAATGGGGCTGGTCTGGGTCTATTGGACGAGGCACAATCCATGCCGGAGAGGGAACGCTGCATCCCGGCGCAAATCCACACATACGCGGCACCGTGCGGCCAGCACTCACACTCAGGCTCGATACGCGCTCGCTGCAGCAACTCAACGGCGAGCTCGCCGAGTTTCAAGAAAACATCAAAGACCGAATCGCAAGCGGCCTCATAACGGACGAGGCCATTTTGGGCCATCTCCTTCTTTTAAACGACCGCCTCGGTGCAGCGTTTGCGCTGTACCAATCTCGCAAGGAAGCGTCCGCCGAGCATCTGGAGGACCCTGCTCCGAGCCGCTTCTCCCAGGCCACACGGCGCTCGTCGCTCGACAAGTCACCGGTCCGTGTCGCCGCGGCGGCGCAGGCAGCAGTAGTGACCGAAGCTCTGCAACAGCAGGAGCAGCAGGAGCAGCAGGGGCAGCAAAGCGCCGTTGACCCGACAGTGCCCCCAGAGAAACCAAAGAGGTCGACGCCGGTTGTCAAATCACCGGCAGTTCCGGCGCACCTCCGTGCGTCCTTTGGCCAAGACTTTAGCAGCGACAGCATTGGGAGTCTGCACAGCCTCGGCAGCGTGGAGTCCGTGGCCGAGCCTGAATCGCGGTACATGCCGGGCTCCCAGATCGGCCACCCGCCACAGCTGAACAGCGGCGACGAGTCCAGTGAAGCCGGGCTGCATCTGTCTCCAAAGCGCAAGGCCGTGGGAAAGAGCGCACTGAGCAGCAAAATCGACAATGGAACGACCGAAGAGTTCCTCAAGGAGCTCGATGAACAGGTAAGCCTCGGCTGGCTGTCGCGCCAGCGAGATATGCCGAAAGCTCCACAATCGAGATGGCTGGGGGGGGGTGTGTGTCCCGGAGTGTAACGCATTGGGCGACGACGCTAACTTTGCCAACCTTTATCGATCCTGTGCAGATGAAGGAGATTGATGAGTTTTTACATCCGCAGACACCGAGCGCAAACACACCGGGGGGCAAAAGCCAGGACGCCGATCTCTTTGAGGACGATCCATGATCTCTGTTGCTGCTCTGTGCGAGGGAGCTCCGCCTTGAAATACACCTGATTGATCTCCTTTGACTGTCGTCCCTGGATGTATCGGGTCTTGGAGTTTTGAATCGAAAGCGGTGCTGCTCGGATGCATACGACTCGATCCGCACTCGAGCCAGCCACTGCCGCCAATCATATGCGTCCACCCCCTTGCGAAATCCAGCCAGCCCTGTTGTCGATTCATCAACTCGAACACACCAAGCACAAATGGGAGCTACGATCCAGGTGTGTCTCGACATGGATGCCGCTCGCCACTCGCCGATGCATCTGTGCCTGTGGTGACAGGCCGTGATCCATGGATGGAAGCATGCCGCACTTGCCCACCCTGATCGATCGACGTGCTTCTGACCCGCTGTCCTTTCTGTCATCTGGCTGCGACCGGGTCGTCATTTCCGCTACCAGAACGTCCTTGCCTCGTTCATCATCGGCCATTTCTTTTCGGCGTTTGCCTACGAGCACGTGTGGTGGCCCTATCTTACCGCCGACGCCTCGATCCTCAAGTCCAAGGTCACGGCGGCAGACCGCTCCTATGCCGTAAACTTCTACAAGGGCCAGATCAACAACCCGCGCTTCAACCAGTATGCTCTCTGGGCTGCCTTTGGCTTGCTGGTGCTGTCCCTTGGAGGCGCTGCCGTCCGCGACAGCCGCCGTCGCCTCTACCATGCCACAGGATTTGTCCTGTCGGCTCTCTCGGGTCTGGTGTTCCAGTTCAAGGTCCTGGCGCTCAAGTCGAGCTTGTTCAAGCTGAAGCACCAGCGCGAGGCCGAGACCCTCCGAGACATTGCCGTGAGTTGCGCCGATTCAGCGACATGAAACATGCCTCCGAGCTGACCGAGGCATACCCGCATGGCTCGATCGGCTCTGTGGGCTGCGTTCGGTGGCCGCATGGCGGACTGACGCTCTGCTTGATGCTCATTTATGATACCATAGCTCTGGAGCGCCGTCTCTGCCCTCGCCATCTTTGCGACTCTGCTGGCCACGCTCAGCGCTGCCGAAGCCGAAGAAGCCGAAGAGATCGTCATTGTCGAGAAGAGAAAGCCCGCCGACAAGTCCAACAAGGCTGAGTAGCGACGGACATTTCAGGGTTTGGAAGGGCTGGATGGCCCGATGGGCAAGATGATGGCGGTGATGGCAGCAGAGTGCCTGGGTATCGTGGAATGTGCGGTCCAAAGTGCATGGGTCATCCAGGAGGTGACTGGCGGATGCTGCGAGCCCCGATCAACCACCGTCCTCGCCGACGCTGGGCGAGCTCGGGACAATACAGTCGACAGTTTGCACATCGCACACCCGAGACGACAGTTCCAATCAGCCACTGTGGATCGGGCCATCCCAGAATACGTGCCTTCGAAGCAAGGTGTATTGCGCCGTGGTTCATGGCGACATCATCCTGGACAAGCCGCACTCTCCAGCCACAGGCTGCTTACGACTTTGCAACGTAGTAGGAGTGAGCAGGCTGGATCTTGCCCTGGTTGACACAGGCCTTCAAAAACTCGGGGCTCACGACAGGGATGTTCCACTCCAGCGCCATCTCGTACTTGGGCCCGCGGGGGATCGTGCAGATCATATGAGTGTTGTCGGGGGACAGCTCCTCAGTGTAGGTGGCGCCGATGCGGGAGAGCATGTCGACCAGCGAAGAGACATCGCCCTCGTTGGCAAACATGCCAAAGCAAACGTTCACGCCGGTGAGGTTGTCGAGGGTGTGGGTCTTGACGTTGAGCTTGTTGGAGGTGAAGGAGCCGGCCGAAGTGCGGATGATGATCCAGATTTGGTACTCTTGGTTGACGTCGAGGCCGCCGAGCTTGCACGATGTCGCCTCGGGTGGAACGGCAATGTTGAGCTTCTGAGCCTTGCGATAGACGTCGATACCCCTCAGCGAGGCCGAGTGGAGGACCAGCGGCTTCCACTGGATGGTGATCGACGTCTGCGTGACGCTCTTGACGCTGATTTCGGGGGCTTCGGGGGGCGTCGAGTATTCCTGGAAGATCGAGTCCTGGATGGACTCGAATTCGTCGCGCTGTCGGGTTTCCTCCTCCTTGTTCCGCTCGATGGTGACGTTGACGATCGATCCCGTGGTGACGCCCTCCTGGAGTGTGCCGGTGTTGCATTTTGGAGTAAATGGTCGATGGTACGTGGATGAGCCGAGAGACAATGCCGAAACCGATGTTGCGACACGAAAGAGAAGCATACGGTCAGGGAATCAAGAGTGCGAGTGTCCAGTGTGGGTGCCAGGAGTCAGCATTGGTGGCATCGGTGGCATAGGTGGTATCGCCCATGCCAGCGCCAGCTATCGAGACCGGGTTCCAGATCGTGAGGATAGCAGATCGACATGGACGGCGAGGGCTGTCTGGGATGCGGTTGTGCTGCCTGCCTTACCGGGAGGATCGTTGCCGGAAACTCGATCAGATGGTGGTCCGGTGAGAGCAGAATGGCCATACCGGCGTCCAGCTTGCCGATGGTGAATTGTACCTGGATCGCAGGGGGGCAAGTGGTGTCAGGAGAGACAGCCGAAGCAACAGCGCCAGCCAGCACGCCGGATTGACAGCGAGCGTCGCAAGGAGTGCGAGAGATGGGCACGCTGCTCGAACAGATCCAGATATCGGAAGCGTATTCCGTGCAAGTCCATTCTTGAGAGATGGACTCGCCGACAGAGGCAGATATATAGATGCAGATGTGGATGCAGATGTGGATGTGGATGAACGGCACAGGGCGCTTATTCGACGACAGCCAACCCGCCCGCTGGGACTCAAGGCTGGAGAGCGAGACGCACCGAGGTGACTTGGTCGAGCATGGAGGGCGGATGAAGACGAGCGTTCGGGGGTAGGGCTCGGCGGTAGACGGATGGACACGACGGAAGCCGATGCAGGTCGATGCAGGTCGATGCCGGTCGATGCAGGTCGATGAAGATGCGGTAAGAGAGACGGAAAAGGGGATTGCGAGACGGCCGCGAGGAGCGAGGAGGCGCGGGCGAGATCGGATGACGGCGGCCGACTGTGGGGGATGTGCTCTCGCTGGGGGCGAGGAGAGAAGGTGCATCCGAGAAGAGCGACATGAGAGCGGGCCGATCGACAGCAGATCGACAGAGCAGTCGATACCGACCATTGCGGCTGGGCAGACCCAAGGACAACGGCCAGAGCGATGTGTATTGTTGCAGAATTGTTTTCATCATAGTATCTGCGTGTCTATGGTGTGGAGCTTGCCCAGTAGCTCCATCCGCCCTGCAATCGCATTCATGGCCGACTGTCTTCCTGCAGCACACCGATGATGGCTTCGACCCGCTCCACCAGTGAGTATTCAACGCTGCCGCCATCTGTGGCCGACGGGCTCGGCACAGTCGCTGCCGCCTGGATCATCTGGCGGCTGATACGCACAAAGTCGGTCAGCTTGGCAACGAGTCCATCGAGCCGGCCCAGCCGGGTCTTGACCAGTTGGCGGTTGTCCTCGCTGTGCTGACAGAGTAGTCCCAGAACCAGGGCGGTGTATCCACACAACACCGTGTTCTCGGCTTGCGCCATCAGAACAGGATCTTGGGAAGCATCGCGGGGGCCGACTTGGTCTTGCAGGCTCTGGAGGGGGGGGGAATAATCAAATCAGCACATCGGGAGCGCTCCGTGGCGAAGAAGTGTCATACGCAACTCGCATGCACCTCATTGAATGGCACGGCACGACGGCGATGGAACATGCAAATGCAAACCCACCTCCTCCTCCCACGTTGTCTCCCACCGCTGTCGCAGCAGGTATGTCTGCAACAGTTTGTGCAGGATGGGCTTGCTTGAAGAGCAACGCTCACGACACTGCTTCTGCTTGCGCTGCTGCGAGGGAGGATCTGGAGCAGCAGTGAAACGGAGAGATCGTCGGCTCGGTGTCAGCACTGGGCTCTCTCTCAGCTGGAACATCGACGTCTGTTGCCCATATTCCCAGTTCAATTGCAGAGCAACCAGGAAGTGCCACATGCACCGCTGGCACCTCACCCGTATGTTCCAGACTCTTGTGTGCGCCGGGGTTGTATACAAGAATGTTGACGGCGAGCCCGGCTGCGGCTATCATGGCATCAAAGCTGGCAGGGCCAGGTGCCATATCCAAAGTCCCGTTTGGGGCCGAGTCATCCTGGCTGAGGCTATCCGGTGTGTCGGTGCCGCAGCTGATCGTCAAGATGTCAAACACAACTCGCAAGCAGTCAGGCTCCGAGAGCGCCCTTGCAGCCACCTCGTTGTCGTGGGAGAGATTGAGTAGCGCACACAAGGTAGCCAGCAGGCAGCCGCCGAGATCTGCGACTGTCAAACGGTGTCGTGTGAGATATGGAATGCTCAGAAGCGAGGAGCGAGCAAAGGCAAGAGTCGAACAACAGGAATAGCCAATTACTTACCAGACACACTTTGAGGAGGCCCGCGACTCAGGGTGTCTGAGCGATCGAGCAATGGCCAAGCGGCAGTCGTGTTAGACGGTACATTCAACAACAGCAAGAGTTTGATCGAGTTCGAGGCCTCACCCCATGATATCCGGCACAGTCGAGCACAGGCTGCGACGAATCCATCGACTTCAGCGAGAACCAACCCATGGCGGCGCACGCGCAGAGTCAGATACTCGATGAGGCGCATGAAGTTTGTGGATCGGGAGAGATTCGGCAGGCTCTGTCCTCATCAAACCAGAAAGGGTTAGTGCGGACTCTGTGATGGCACCTGCGTCACCGAGATGCTCCAGCTTACGTGATCATCCAGGGGACTCCAGGATATCCACAGATCAGCAAGGGAGCGCAAGGCAGACTCGTTGTCCCGGATTTCGACCTTGAACCGGTTGCTGTCGAGCAGGCGATGGGCCTCGAGCAGGTGCGAGATGATGCAAAAGCACATGGCATGCAGCCCAGGCTACACCAGATGGAATCGCGGCATTGGCGGGGAAGAGTCAGTCCGCTTTCACCATCGCATGCTTGCTTGCCTCAGTCAAACGATACACACCTTACAACCGGCCTCGCTTTGGAAAGGGCTCTGGTCAACGATCTGTCGGACGGCATCCATCTAGTGGTGGTGGTGGTGGGTGTAAGCTGCCGTGACGTTGATGAGCGGAGGCTACATTGAGCAAACCAGACAAATCAGCCTACCAGTTTCTTCTCGATTCGATTCGATGGTGCAGCGCGAAATGGGTCCTTGGACACACTGAGGGCTCGACAAATGATCGAATCAAAGGGCTCCTGTGCGACCAGGAAGCTCGAGAGGCGGCGGTCTCGAAGCCACATCCACAAGATGAAAACAATGCATGACATGATGATCTGGGTGCAGTAGACAGTGGACGAGTGTCAATGGTGATTCAGCATGGTTGTGTGGCTTTGAGTCAGCGGGACTGATTCGATTCACTGGCAGTGCAACGGGGCATTGCGGTTGTGGACAACGCACCGGCTCTTGACTTGGCTCGTCGACCATGGCCGCAAAGACCTTGGGTGCCATGTCGTGCACCTTGATGAACTGGAAGAATTCGTCGGATGCCAGTTTCTTGCAGAGATCGATGTAGCTGAGTGCCAGGTAAGTGAGCATGGCGTACATTTGACGAAAGGACAGAATCGCCCGCGGATCCAGTGGGAGATCGGTTTTCGATTGATGGGGCAATCTACCTGATGCGCCGCACCGACACGGCTCGGGTGCGGCAGAGTCCATCGAAGATGTAATCGAGCTCGTCCTTGAACGCCTTCCACTTGCCAGCGTGACGCAACTGATGCATCTTGACGACACCCTTGTCCTGCTAGAGTGCAGTGTTGTGATGTGGCTGTGATGTTAGCCAAGTCGAGACAGCCTTCGAGCTCAACCTCCAAGAAAGGACACTGTGGCGGATATGCGAGATCTTTTGGCAACCGCTGATCCAAAACATACCTCATCGTCGCTTTCGTCCAGACTCTGCTCCTGCTGATACTGCGCAAGGGTCTTGTGTTCGGGACACAGCAGGCTCTCCAGGCTGTCCTTGAAACTTCGCACCCGGCCATATGTGACTGCGTGTCCCCGTCCATGTCCTTTTGGCGCTGAAACGTCATTGCGAGGCTCCGCCATACCAGGCCAGCTGGAAGGACGGCTGAGCACCGAGGGCGGGTTGTGCGAATACGAGACTGCCGAGTCCAATGAAACAGGCAGCGAGGAAGTGTCATGGGCTGCGATATCGCTGTCGAGGGATGACGCTTCCGCCACTGCCGACAGACTGAGCGCCATTGGATCAGCCGGGGTTTCCGGAATCAGCTGGTCCAGATCGACTTTGACGACCTTGGAGTTTCTGAGAATCTCGTCGTCAAAGGACGGGCCCCGCTTGGCGCCGGAGTGCTTCATATTTGCGATCCTGCTCTTTGATACTGCGGCCAGAGCCGAAGCTTGCTGCAGCGTCCGGTTGCTGGATCGTGCAGGGGGAGGCGGACTGAGTACCAGAATGGGAGGGACTGGCTCCTCTGGTCCTTCTGGCTCGGTTGATTTCGCACCGACATGTGGTGGCTCAACTGAATCCGATTCTGCATGGTCGTGCTGCTGGACGACTATGTTGGCCATTGAAACCTCAGCTGGGAGGGAGACAGCATCATATGGGGTGGAATCCAGCTGAGGGGGGATGGCCTCGGGCAAGCGGAGGGTATCTGGGTCTGATGGTTGAGTGTTGTTTGCGTCGCTAATGGGCATTTGGGCACTTGGCGTGTCGACGGACGATCGGGCACTGGATCGCTGCGGGCGAGATTTGGTTCTTTCAGCCGAGGCATCCTTGTGTTCTTTGGCTGCCGACGACTTTGATCGTTTGGGACGGCTGTTCCTGGAAGGACTCGATCGGCGGGCGGACGTCCGTTTCAGAGCCGGCTGTCTCTGCTCGGTTGGCAGTTCGGCAACGGGAGACTCCTCTGGTTTCGGCAGAGGCACTGAAATTGGTGGCTCCTTTGCTAGCGGCTCTTTCGCTGCTGTTTTCTGAGCGCTATTCTCTCGGGGCCGCGGAGCATCGTCAGTCTGAGGCTGTCGGCGTGCCCTCTGGTATTTGATCTGGGAAGGGCCATGCCGCACGGGCTGAGCGACTTTGGCTAGGGCATCGGTGAGGAAAGGAGGTGCCGCTGCAGTCCGGCTGGAACGATACCGAGACGATGGCTTGACAGTCTGCAGCTCATCGGCGGCGTCATCGAGGGTGTCGTCTGGAAAGTCGAACAATGATGGTTGGGGAGAAGGGGCTTGAGGCTGCAGATTGCCTTTGCTTCGCGCAGTGATCTGGTCCATGTCGAGGATGCGTGCTGGGCGTTGCCAAACGATTGCTGGCATCGGTATCTCCATCTTCCTCATCACTGGAGAGAAACGAGAACAGCCGTCGCACTTGGGGAGGCTGGACTGGATGAACGGGCTGGGAGAGCAGAGCGGGGGCTCGTCGGCCATACTGAACAGACACCCGCTGTCGCTGCACCAGCGGAAAGATCAGCGACGAGTCCATGAGGGAGCCCGAAGAATAACGGATCGGATGAGTGGCGGCGTGAAGGACGGGGCGGGATGTTGTTAGTGTCAGAGTCGACGGCCGATGCGAACAGGGCGAGATGCAGATCGAGATGAGGCGAAGGCAGTTTCTGGCTTTGTGGTTTGTCGGATACGACCGAGACAGCGCAGCAAAACGACGCTGCACACCGTCATGGCCCACGCTCAACATGTCGCCCCGATGCTGCCCAAGCCCCTGGTTGTGATGGATACAGGTCGGATGCGGACTGGATTGATTTCATGCGGCAGGGAATGATACGTACTAGTGTGGTGGATCATGGATTTGGCTTCAGTGGCGGTGGTGGCGGTGGTGGTGGCGGTGGTGTTTCAAACACAAACACCCAGAACGAGCAAAGCCGTCGCACAACTATGTTCCAAATGCCTTGTCCCCTGCCATCCCCGGCGATCTGAAACGAGATGCTTGCTCTGGGCACAGGCACTGTCGCCATCGATCCGATGGCCCGGGCGTCGTCTGCACGCCATTTTTCTCGGATAGGTTGTCGCTAAGCGCCAGTTGATCTCATACCGACGGAAACGCCGACTTGCCATGTTCAAGCCCAAGCACCAAGCGGGCGCTGTCGTCGAGCAGCATGTCTCGAGCAAGCAGCGTCGGTTTTCTGCAATCACCTCCGTCAGGGAGCTCACGTTTCTCCTGCTTGGCGAGACCGGCGTCGGCAAATCGACCCTCATCAACGCCCTGGCCAACTATCTCATCTTCGAAAACCTCGACGACATCGAGCCCGACAAGGCCCTGTCCCTCATCCCAACAAAGTTCTATCTCTACGACCCTGAGCAGGTCAGCCAAGAGATTGCCATCACATCCAAAGCGTCACTGCTGGACAAGCTGCGGGATCGTAAGTATGGAAGCAACGTCTCTATTGGCGGCTGAGGCTTGCCCTTCTTGTGCAGAGCCAGTCCTCCTGACAGCAATTCCTAAATGGATCCATATCTCCAGACTCATCGCGCAACAACGAGAAACATGCTGTCGGTCAGTCGTCCACTCAGCACCCACGAACATATGTGTTTGATGCACGTTTGCTCAACGGGGAGCCTGTCAGGGTCAAGCTGATCGACACTCCAGGGATGGGCGATACTCGCGGCGTCGAACAGGACAAGAGCAACATGGACCTCATAATCAAGTACATTGTCAACTACCCCCAGATCAACGCCATACTGTTCTTGCTCAAGCCCAACAACAGCCGCCTGACGGTCTGGTTCCGGCTCTGTATCAAGGAACTCCTCAAGAATCTGCACCGTGACAGCGCCCGCAATATCATGTTCATGTTCACGAATGCCCGGAGCACACTGTATCGTCCGGGCGACACCATGGTATCTCTTAGCGCCCTGCTGGACGTCGTCCAGCAGGATACGGGTGTCCACGTCCCGCTCGACAACTCCAACATCTTCATGGTTGACAACGAGGCGTATCGCTTTCTCCTTGCTCGAGACAAGGTCCAGTTTGCAGCGGAAGATGTTGCTGCCTTTCGCAACTCGTGGCGGCGCTCATCGACAACATGCCAGAGCCTGCTGAACGCAGCTGCCAGCATTCCGTTCCATGCGACCAACCAGACGATCAATCTGTATGAAGTTCGGAGAGCCGTCTTGGCGCTGTGCCAGCCACTGGCCAATATCGCCGCCGACATTGCCTCGACCAAGAGAGCCGTGGACGACCAGACGGCGGCTTTAAACTCTCTGCGGACTGCCGTCGTGGATCTCGAAAAGACCCTGACTGTCACAGTGCCAGTCGCAGTCAAGCATCAACTGTCCACCCTGATTGTTGTTTGCACCCACTCCGACTGTGTCAAGCATGTCGAGGATGAGCACGGAAATACCCTGGTCGACTATGTGGTTCGATGCCAGCAACGATGCCACTTGTTTCACGTTCCACTGAATCGTGTCGGCGATCCACACTTTGCCGATCTCCCAGTGATGGAAAACCATCGCTGCAAAAAGTGCCAGCACGAGTACAACTTCCACATGATGACCAACAGCGAAGTGCGGTACGAGCCGCGACCTATCCTGAGCCAACACGCCAGGAACCAAATCGCAGCTGAAGCAATTAAGGTTCATCAAGCCCAGAACGCCATCAAGAGTCTGCATAATATCCTGGACGACCTCTCGAGACTGGAGCAGAGAATCATTTCGATCGGATCACGCCTTGCAGATTACATTCGTCACAACAGCATCGTGCTCTATAACGACGCCCTTCTCGACTATCTGGATCACCTCATCAATGATGCCAAGGATGCGGGGCCGCCTGGGCTTGACGGAAGCTTGCAGAGCAAGACCAAGGGTCTCGAGAGAATCAGGCGACTGCATGAAGGCGAGAAGAGGCTGCTGACCGAGAACCATGCGACAGGCGGCAGCGGCCCAAGCGAACGAGATATAATTGCAGTCTTTGGTGAGCTGGAGAGCCTCAGAAACGAAGGCGGTGTCTTCCAGGCCTTTGAGCTCGAGGCACCGCTCCGGAGTTTCCGCATCGGAGTGTATAGTTTATTCGGATAGAAGGGTTGGTCCCGATCGGGAGGTTTCGGCCTCATATTGTTCACACACGTTGTGACGAGATAGACTGCGAGCTATGAAATATGTGGCAAGATGCTAGGGAAACACGATGAAGACCGCTTTGAAACGAGTTGAGGCAGATTCCAAAAATGGATCGAGTGGAGAACAAAGGAGTGTGAGTCGCACGATGGCGCGATCCAAACCGATGTGATTGGCCTGCGACGGGGTGCGCACGGCCATTTTTGGTGTTGGGGATACCCTTTCGGGAGGCACTTGCTGGCGGGCGGGCGGGCGGAGGAGGAGGGCAGCCGCATCACCGATCCGCACGGCGCATCCTGTCTTGGTGTCATGAACACCCTCTGCCTTTGCCCACTCCCTTCCTTTACCCTTGCCCTTTCCTTTCTGTTTGCCTGTCTTAGTGCTTTCCCTTCCTTCTGTTTGTTTGTTTCCCGCGCTGTGCTGCCTTGTTGTCTTACCGCAAGCACGCGCGCTGCCTGTGTTCCGTTCCCGCTCCCTTGCTGTTGGTCATGGGTTACGCCCACGACGCCGCCTCGACGCCGCCTGACGCCTTGGCGCCGCCAAGCCGCCGCCACTGACGCCCGCTGACTCACGGATCCCGAGTCACGGCCGCCACCTGCTTCGCTCGCTGCTTCGCCCTCCCCGCCGCTGCTTCGCTCCTGCCCCCTCGCTCTGCAGCGTCGATCCTTGGCGCTCGCATAAATAGCCCTCCGACCAGCCTCTGTCTTTTGCCTTCGTCTTGCCACTTTGTATTTTTAGTATCCTAAGCCTTGGATCTAGAATAAAACTTTGGCTTCACACTTGACACTCTGTGTCCCAGTCCAGTCCCCGCTCCTCTCCCTACGTTCGAGTCTTGCATTAGGACTCTTGCGCACTTCCCTGCTTGCCCCGTTGTCCAGTCTTGACACTTGGCAAGACCTTCAACAACCCCCCACTTGCCCTGCCTTTGCCCCGTCCCCTTCTCTATCTCTTTTACCAATGGCTTCCCCTTCTGGCCTTTCCGAGCCCGAGCTCCAGGCCATCCGTGCGGTCATTATCCAGTCCGCCGAGAACGCCCGTTCTCTCCAGGACTTTTCCAAGTTCCTCCACGATCAGGATGATGCGCTCAACCGCATCACCGATCGTATGGACCAGGTCCTGGCTCGCCGTGAAGAGGATGTCCGCCAAGTGGTCGCCGCCAGTGTCCAGGAGGCCCTCCGCAGCTACCAGGCCCAGCTACCTCCTCCTGCTCCCGCTCCCGCCCCGATCCGTCGTGCAGGTCGCCCCTACTTCGGCGTTCCTGACGACGTCGATGATCCTGCCCAAGACCCCGAGGACAACCCTGCTGGTCGCAACTCTGCCACCAGGCAGATAGGTCCCCCTGATCGCTTCTCTGGTAAGGACCCGAGCCGCTGCAATGCCTTCCTCTCGCATTGCAGACTGGCCTTCGTGTCCAACCCTCCCCTCTTCCAGACTGAAAGGGATAAGGTGTTCTACGCCTTATCCTATCTCGATGGTACTGCTGCAGACTACATGCAGCCGTACATCGATCAGTTGGAGAGAGACCCCGAGTGCTCTCCCCCTGCCATCCGTGACTTTGCCGGTTTCTCCGAGTGGCTCCGTGCTGCCTTTGGCCAGGTCCAGCCCACCATCGCCGCTGCTCGCGAGATGGTCAGGCTTTACCAAGTCACCTCCGCCGCCGCCTATGCCGCCGAGTACCGCCGCCAAGCCGTCCACCTCCTCACTTGGTCCCAAGACCCTCTCATGTTCCACTTCGAGAGTGGACTCAAGCCCTCGGTTCAAGACGAACTCTCCCGCCGCTCCTTCGACAACCTCGAAGATCTCATGCAAGCGGCGATCGCCATCGACAACCGCCAGGAGGACCAACGTTCCCGCCGTCCCAACCACCGCTCCGCTCCTGCTCCTGCTCCTGCTCGTCCGGCTCCTCTCCCTTTCCGTCCGGCTCCTCGCCCCTTCGCTCCTGCTCCTCCTCCTCGCCCCGCTCAAGCCTTCAACGTTCCGCAGCCCATGGACCTCAGCCAGGCCTCCGCTCGCAGGCTGACCGCCGAGGACAAGGCCGCCCTCCGTGCTGCCAACCGCTGCTTTTATTGCAAGCAGGAAGGGCACATTGCCCTTCGCTGCCCCAATAAGGCATCCTCCCGCTTGGCTGCCATCGATGCTTCTTTGGCTGTCGTTGATGTGAATAAACTTGACGACCAGGAAAACTTCTCTGCCTAGAAAAGGTCGGAGGAGCTTTCCTAGGCGTCAATCATGTCATAAATCTTCCTCCTGTAAATGTCTCCACGGTAAATCACTCTTCTGCCTTTTGCCATCTTGCCCCCGTCACCATTGCCACCGTTTCCACTGCTCTTGCTTCTTCGTCTTCGCCTCCCGAGCCTGACATCCAACGTCAGCCCTCCCTCGCTGTGACTCTGCTGTGCGGTCCAGAGTCCATACGGGCAACCGCCATGATCGATACCGGCGCGGTTACTTCGTTTATGGACACTGGATTCGCCGCAACCCACGCTCTCCCCACCTTTGCAACTTCTTTCGTCATCACTCTTGCCGATGGTTCTTCGATGGAGTCTAGTCTTGGAGTTTGTGTTTCTATGATCACAGGCATCAGCCACTATGAACAAATCTCGTTCGCGCTGATTCCCTTGGCTTCATACCCGATCATCTTGGGTATGGATTGGATCAAGAAACACAAGCCCTACTTTGACTGGCACCATGACTCTATTTTCTTGCCTTGCACCTCTATCCACAGTTTGGCCTCCCCGTTCTCTCCCGAGCCACAGTCCTCTAGGTCCAGCCCTGCCGAGCCGCCTGCCGAGTCCCCTGCTGAGGTCCCCGCCGAGCCTGCCGTGTCCCTGCCCGAGTCCAAGATCGTTCCTGCCAAGTCCCCAGCCGAGTCCCCAGCCGAGCCCGAGATCCTCCCTGCCTTGCCTCCTGCCGTGCCCAAGCCCAGTCCTGCCTTGCCTCCTGCCGTGCCCAAGCCCAGTCCTGCCTTGCCTCCTGCCGTCCCAAAGACCAAGACCAAGACCCAGTCCCTGCCCAGCGTCAGCCTGATCGGCAGCATCCCCTTCCAGCACGCCGTCCAGAAGGAAGGCCTGGAAGTGTTCCTCTTGGATGCTGCCCGAGTCCTGTCCCTCGGCTCCGTCGACGCTGGAGCCAAGCCCAAGGCCGAGCCCTCTGTCCCCTCCAAGTACTCGTCCTTTGCCAAGGTGTTTTCCAAGTCCGAGGCCGACAAGCTCCCCCAGCACCGCCCTTACGACCACACGATCCCGTTGGTCGAAGGTGCGTCCCCGTCGTTTGGGCCCGTCTACAACCTCTCCAAGCCGGAGATGGACGCCCTCCACACCTACATCCAAGAGAACTTGTCCAAGGGTTTCATCCGCCGTTCCGAGTCCCCTGCCGGTGCCCCAGTCCTGTTCGTCAAGAAGAAGGATGGCTCCCTCCGTCTCTGCGTCGACTACCGGGCCCTGAACAAGATCACCGTGCCGAACCGTTGTCCCTTGCCCCTGATTGCCGAGACGTTCGACAACCTCGGCAAGGCCAAGATCTTCACCAAGCTCGACATGCGAGGCGCATACAACCTCTTGCGCATCGCTGAAGGTGAAGAGTGGAAGACGGCCTTCCGCTGTCGCTACGGCCACTTCGAGTACAACGTCATGCCGTTCGGCTTGACCAACGCTCCTGCCTCGTTCCAAGCCTTCGTCAACGATGTCCTCCGAGAATACCTTGACCAGTTCGTGGTCGTCTACCTGGACGACATCCTCATCTACTCCTCCGATCCTGCCGAGCACGAGGCTCATGTCAAGAAAGTCCTGACCAAGCTCCAAGACGCCGGACTCTCACTCAAGCTTGAAAAGTGTGAGTTCGACCAGTCCTCCGTCGCCTTCCTCGGGTTCATCATCTCGCCCGATGGAATCTCCATGGATCCCGACAAGGTCAAGGCCATCCAGGAGTGGGAGATCCCCCGATCTGCCCACGACATCCAAGTCTTCCTCGGCCTGGCGAACTTCTACCGTCGGTTCGTCAAGGATTATTCCAAGATCGCCACCCCGCTGACGGACCTCCTGAAGAAGGACATCAAGTTCTCCTGGTCTCCCTCGGCTCAAACGTCATTCCTGAAGCTCAAGGAATGCCTGAGCACCGGTCCTGTCCTCCGCCACTTCGACCCCGAGCGTCAGTGCGTCATCGAAGCCGACGCATCTGACTATGCTCTTGGCGCTGTTCTCAGTCAGCGCGACGACGAAGGCCTCCTCCACCCCGTGGCCTTCTACTCCCGGAAGCTGCTCGATGCAGAAATGAATTATCAAATCTATGATAAGGAACTTCTCGCCATCGTCGCAGCCTTCAAGCAATGGAGACACTACCTCGAGTTCTCCTCCCAAGCCACCGAGGTCGTCACCGACCACAAGAACCTTGAATACTTCCAGACCTCCCGCAACCTCAGCCGTCGCCAAGTCCGTTGGTCCGAGATCCTTGGCGACTACAACTTCGTCATCAGGTATCGACCCGGAACCCTCAACAATGCCGCCGACGCCCTCTCCCGCAAGGACAAGTTCCCTAAGGAGGGGGGTGACTCCCGTAGCTCCCCGAACACCCAGACCCTGCTGTGTGATGACCAGCATCACAACGGACCAATGAGATTGTCCCGCATGCTCTCGCCCTCCGCACCAATCATGAGTCCCCACGTGTTTGTTTGCCCCCATGCATGAGCACGCGCCGTTGCCACCCGCGTCTACTGGTTTCCTGCCTCCCCCACCGCTCGGCACATGTCCCCGGGCTGTGCCAAGCCTCTCTCGCTTGCACACCAGCCACTCTCGCACCCCCTTCTCGCTTCTCTGTGATGCTCCACCCTTCTCGCCCACTTTTGCCCCTCGACCTTCTCCCGGTCTATAAATAGCCCTGCATGTCTGAGCCTATGTTGAACACCAGTTCGAACAAAACTTGTTCTTTGGTGTTCGGGGCTAAAAGCTAATAAAGCTCATACCAAGCACTTGGTCTTCGTCCTTGCGCTTGTTCACTCCTTACACTTTGTTCGAACTCTCTTCTACTGATACCACCTGCTTGGTATCTTCCGCTCCTAGCCCCGCCCCTTTCCTAGTCCTGTCCGAACCTCAAGCACACTTGTGTCTGAGCCCTCTTCGCTCTCCTGTTCTTGAACCTCCTCGCTT